AATATATTTTTTAAAGATTTTATTTATTTATTTGACAGAGAGACACAGCATGAGAGGGAACACAAGCAGGGGGAGTGGGAGAGGGAGAAGCAGGCCTCCCATGGAGCAGGGAGCCCAACTCAGGGCTCGATCCCAGGACCCTGGGATCATGACCTGAGCCAAAGGCAGATGCTTAATGACTGAGCCACCCAGGTGCCCCAATAAATAAGTATTTTTTTAAAAATTAGAAATAGAATTATCATATGACTCAGTAATTCCACTACTGGGTATTTACCCAGAGAATACTAATTTAAAAAGATATATGCACCCCTACGTTTACTGCAGCATTATTTACAATAGCCAAATTATGGAACTGTCCAATGATAGATAAGGAAGATGTGGTGTGTGTATACACACACACACACACACACACAATCGAATATTACTCGGCCATAAAAAAAAGAATGAAATCTTGATATTTGCAACAACATGGATAGATCTAGAGGGTATAAAGCTAAGTGAAATAAGTCAGTCAAAGAAAGATAAATACCATATGATCTCACTCATATGTGAAATTTAAGAAACAAAACAAACGAACAAAAGGGACAAACCAAAAAACAGCTTCTTAACTACAGAGAACAAACAGATGGTTACCAGAGGGGAGGTGGGTGAAGGGTTGGGTGAAATAGTTGAAAGGGATTAAGAGCACACTTATCTTGAGAGCACTGAATAATGTAGAGAATTGATGAATCACTATATTGTACACCTGAAACTAATTAACACTGAATGTTAATTATACCAGAATTAATTTTTTTTAAAGAAATGCAGGAAACCCTGCCATTTGCAACAACATAGATGGACATTGAGGGCATTATGCTAAATGAAATAAGTCAGAGAAAGAAACTGTATAATCTCACTTGTATGTGGAAATCTTAAAAAAATCAAAAAATTAAAAAACTGAACTCGAGATACAGAGAATAGATTGGTGTTTCCAGATGTGGGAAGCTGGGAAGGCAAAATGGGTGACAGTGGTCAAAAGGTATAAACTTCCAGTTATAAAATGAATAACTCCTAGGGATGTAATATATAGCATGTTGACTATAGTTAATAACTTTGTTGTAAACACTATTTGAAAGTTGCTAAGAGAGTAGATCTTAAAAGTTCTCATCACAAGAAAAAAAAATTTATTAACTATGTGTGGTGATGGGGACGCCTGGGTGGCTTAGTCAGTTAAGTGTCTGCCTTTGGCGCAGGTCATGATCCCAGGGTCCTGGGATTGAGACCTGCATCAGGCTCCCTGATCAGTGGGGAGCCTGCTTCTCCCTCTGCCTGCTACTTCCCTGCTTGTGCTCTCTCTCTGGCAAATAAATAAAATCTTTAAAAAAAAAACTGTGTCGTGATGGATGTTAACTAAATTTATGAGATCATTTCACAAAATATATATATATTGAATTATGTTGTACACCTGAAACTAATGTTATATGTCAATTATGTCTCAGTGAAAAAATGATAATAAGAGCTATGGAGAAAAATTAAATAGGACAAGGGTGATAGGAAGTACACTGGTTGAGATGCTATTCTATACAGGGTGGTCAAGGATGGCTTTTCCAATTTGGTGATGTCTGAGTTAAGTCTTGAAGAAAAGTGAAGGAGTAAGTGATGCCAATATCAGGAGTAAGAAAATTCCAGGCAGGGGAATCATCAAACTCATACGCAGAGGGGTCAGAATTAAGTTACAAAAAAATTTACAGAAGATAGAGTCAGGTTAACAGAGAGCCAGATCACACAGGGCTATATAAACAACTGTAGAGACTTTGGTTTTTATTCTGAGATGGGAAACCACAGAAAGCTTTAAGTCAAGAAGTGACATAATCTGACCCACATTTTGGAAGAATCACCCTGGCTATTGTGCTAAGAAATAATTTTAGGCAGGCATTGGAGGAAGTAGAGACCAGTTAATAGGCTACTGCACAGATCAAATGAGAGAAGACTGTGGCCTAGATGTGGATCAGCTGAACTTTTACATGCAAAGGCTTCCAATATCTGAACTGCCCTTTCACTGGGCATAGGTGTTAGTCACAATGTTGAAAATGCATATGCTCTATCTCAAACACAGTTTCAATTAACTGCATAAAATGCCCGTATAGCAGGAATTACTTAAAATTTCCTTATTTATGAAACTCGTTTTGGCTATTATTATCTCAAAGATTGTCCTACGGTGTTGTTTTTAAATCCATCCATCTTTTTTGTAATCCTTAGTATCATTACAGTCTCTTTCCCTTTAGAAGTCAATGATGGATGTGGATTCCAGGTTGAGTACCCCAATGAGGACCATTTGAGCACTTAATTCAAAACAGACCTGGAAACTGGTCCAAGTGTTTACTCACAGATTACCGGGTAAATCCTGGTCTTATTGGTATAGAACTCTTTGATCAAGCCCCCAATCTCATTTATACTTCAAAAATACTGCCAAAGTGAAAGATCTTATCACTTACTTGGACTGAGACTAACCAACACCATCCCATAAATTGCATGGCTTTCGGTACCAGGACTGTGGTGTGTGACGTTACATACAAGGTAATCTTATTTCCAACGATTCTGTTAGGATAAAGGCTCTTGTATTTGCCTCACTAGACCAGCAGAGATCTTAGCAGAGATCTGGCACACAGAAGAAACTGCCCAATTAATACTAAGAGGGAGGGGATAGATTAAAAAATTGAGTCTTTGGACTCAATCCAAATGGGAAGTACTATGGACAAGGTTTGTTGAATGGGCTTTTGGTAGTCAGGAACTGTCAGGAGACGGAAAAAATTATGCTCTGAGAAACAAGAACTATTTCAGGGAAGAAAGAAAAAAACCCCAAAGCACCTTGATCTTGGCCTCTAGATGTTCAATAATCGTTCTTTACTCTTCCTCTTAGCAATAGAAACTGCAGAAAGAGAAAAGAAATTGATGAGACACTGGCTTTTCTTGGAATTCCAGTTGACCAGGTTGGAACATACACTTTAGGGACTCCAGTCACTCACTGTCCCCACACACATACAAAGGAAAGTCAGGGAAGACTAGAGAGTCCAGCCTAATGTAGTTACAGGAAAGGGCCAGAATCTGTCATGAACTCACAGATGTCTCCTGGATAGAGCGGTGAGTAACACCCTCCACCCCATGTGCAAACATGGTGCTGTACCAGGTCACTCGTTTACATATAATCCCACACCTTGGGGACACACAAAGTCAGAATCACACAGCCTCCCCACACCCACATACCCATTGCCCCACAGCCAATCACAATCACACACACACACACACACACACATCCCCCAAGGGGGTCACACCTGCACAGTCACAGACTCACACACACACACACACGATGCCGCACACGTTCCCAAAATCACACTCCCTCACCGCAGGACACAGTCCCAACTGCACAATCACCGGCCCTCTACATCCCTGTGCACGATGGTGCAGTCATGCAGTCACAATCACATACCCATTCTGGGAACACGCACAGTCCCAAGCACCCTACTCCATCACCCAGAGTCATCACCACATACAGTCACAATCACACACCACGACGACACGCGGTAACAATCACAGTCTCTCTCCCCCTCCCATCCCCTCTCCCTCCCTCCTCTCTCTCTCTTATTCTAGCTGTCTCTGTCACACACACACACACACACACACACACACACTCAATCACTCACTCTCTCTCTCTCTTCTCTTCAGCCCGCTCCGGACACGAAATGCTCCTACCTGAACTCCTCACCCTAGTCCTTCCCTAGTTCCGGTCTGGCCCAAACTGGCCAAGTTGCACCGGACTCCAAAGGCCCCGCAGCGGCTGACTCGGGGAAGCCAACGGTCCCGCCATCCCGCAAAGCGGCCGAAATCCTGAGGAATGTAGCGTCCGCCCGCGAGTCCCCTGGAAAATGCAGTCCGGAAGCGGGCAGCAGGCCTCCAGATTCCTCTCAGCGCGCGAGCTGGGCTCGTGCTCATCTACAGCTTCTCCGCGCCAAACAACCGCGAGGCCCGACGCCGAGCGGCTGGTAGGCGGAGCGGGTCGGCGGGATGCACCCGCCAGGCCTTCAGCCGCCTCACCCCGGGCAGCTCGACCGTCGCCGTAGGCACTAGACGAGACGCCGCGTTCTCGGCGGACGCAGCCTCGAGCCGCAGCGTCTGTGGGAAATGTAGTCCAGGCCAGAAAAGCAGCCACTCAGGCCAGAATGCGAGCGGACACCTGGTCCTGGCCGCGGAATCCGACCGGCGGCGCCCGGGAGATTTCTGGAGGTTCTAGTTCGTCTTCTGCATGCAAAGGGATGACATTTCATCTTCGTCGGTGAGTGCAAGCCTCGGTCGCTCAGCGCTGAGGGTGAGTGAAGGTGGGACCCGGTCGTCTCTTTTGGGACCTAGTGAAGGCGGCGACCGGGAAAGAATCACGGTCTTGCAGGGGGAAGTGGGGCCGCGCCCGAGGGACGCCCTCAGGTGAAGAAGGCGGCGGGGCAGAGGTGAGTCCGGAGATGCTGTGTTGCGACCGCAGGGTGTGACTGGGTGTTGTGTATATATGAATATGGGTCACCTATTTGGGAGAGCAGGATCGTATCTGTTTATCACCAGTTAACCCCTAAGCCTCATCCGTAAAATGGTAAGGAGGCATCTTTCTGGAGCATCAGTTTTCTTTGAAGGTTGACAGGAGGAAAAAGTAACCTATTACATGATAGACAACATAAAATGGGTTTTTATGTTAAAATAGACATGTTTAGTATGGATTAAAATGCTAATTTAACATGTTTTTAAAGCAAGAAAGAAGGTTGCAAAATATTTGTTATGAAATGCTTGATTTTATCAGTTGAGACCCTCAAGTTTAGAAACATACTTTCTTATGTACATTTAATGAAACTACTAAAATATTTAGGTTTAACTCTACCACCTCTTTGTTTTCTGTTTATTCCACCTGTTCACGATCTTAACCTTTTCAGAATACAGGTTCTTTTGCAGTTCTTCAATTTGTGTTTACCTGATGTTTCCTCATCATTTATACATTTTTAAAAAGTTTTTTTTTTTTTTTTTTGAGAAAGAGAGCCTGCAAGTGTGTGGAAGGAGAGGGAGAGAGAATCTCTCTCTTTTTTTTCTTTTGACAGAGAGACACAGGGTCCTTTTTGTGAATTGTATAGGGACCTCTTTATTTTGAAGAATCATGACCTATATTTCTAGAAAGCTTATATTTGTTCTCTTAAAGTTTCTTCCATTCAGTTTGCTCCTCTCTCTCTTGAACTCCTTTTATCTGGGTATTGAAATTCCTAATTTTGTTATCCTTCTCATCTTTTACTACCTTTTTTAAACTTTTTTTTCCTACAACTGAGTGATTTCCACAACACTATTTCCCATATCTGCTATTAAATTTTTACTATAGCTATCTTTTTTTTTATTTCAAGAGCAGTTTTTAGGGGCACCTGGGTGGCTCAGTCAGTTAAGCGTCTGCCTTTGGCTCGGGTCGTGACTCCAGGGTCCTGGGATCAAGTCCCACATTGGGCTCCCTGCTCAGTGGAGAGCCTGCTTCTCCCTCTCTCTGCTGCTCCCCCTGCTTGTGCTCTCTCTCTGTCAAATAAATAAATGAAATCTTAAAAAAAAAAAAGAATAAACTTTTAAAAAAGAGCAGTTTTTATAGTACCTGTTGTTTCCTTAATATAATATCTTATCTCTCTGTGGTATTGTGGGGGGGGCGGTTGGTGGGTTGTTTCTGTTTTTTTGTCTTTTTCTGTTCCTTACATGTATCCATTTCCTTGGAAATTTTTTTTCATTGTTTTCATTTGTCTTTCGTATTACTAGGTTTACATTAACATTATTAGGTTTTCCCTAATTTACAGATTAATAGCTGTCCTTTCATCTTTTCTTAATGCACTAAAAAGATGACTGTAATATCTATATATAATGAGGACTTCTCAACTTGCGAGCTTCTTTATAGAACTATTGGTCAAGAATTCAGACATTTCTGGGGCGCCTGGGTGGCTCAGTTGTTAAGCGTCTGCCTTCAGCTC